GCAGGCAAACGCTGACTGTCCCCGCGGCCTGAGGCCTTACGCGGAGGGCGACCTGCCAGCCAGCCTCCAACATAACACACTCTACTATGCACCCTCCTATTAAAAAAAAAACCAAAACCCGACGTTAAATTTGGCAAGTGATTAATGCACAGCCCAGTTCAATACCTGCAGGCTTTAGGAAAGATTCACGTTCTAGCTGGAACAAAAAGTTGGCGATAGAGGCATACAGTAAGGTAATTTTAGGATATATCCATGAGGAAAAGCTGATGCCACAAGTTGGCTCTTGCACATTGCACTGGAACAGGTCAGAATTATAGAATAAGAACAGGTCTCAGCGCTGCAGATATTCCCCAGGTACAACAGTGATATTTTTGCAATGCAGACCTAATCGCTTGAGAAGCGAAGGCTGCTTTCCGATCCCAAAGTAAGCGGAAGAAAGAGAAGAAAGAGTCACCTATAGGTAAAGCAGCCACAGCAAAACTCTAGTTTTCATGAGCGACTTCGTGGCTGGCGGTGGTGGTAAGAAGCCACCTAATGTCACCCAGGGTGGAAGCTCCAGCGCAGTCTTAAAAGCCTCTCGTGTCCACTTTCCCGAGCGGGTTCAAGTCCCTGAGTAAAGGATCACATTGTTAAGAGCCTGCTCACAGGCTGGGCGGATTGAAGGGATTTCTCCTGTCAAGTCAGCTTCCTGCCAGCTGCCTTGCCTACAGCCAAACACACTCAAACCCCCAAAGAGCCCGGGGGGGTGGTTCTCAGCACTGGCCAGACCGCTCACTTTCCAAGCAAGGAGGCGTCCTGGCCCCCTTCCTACCGGGGAAGGCACAGAGCGATGCTGTAGCGTGGCCCTTGCCAGCCTCCACGGCATCAGGCAGAGGGCGGGCGGCCAAGTGAAAAAACGCAAAGGACTTCAGAGATGCATTTACCTTCCTTATCTGCAAGTGCTGCGTAAAACCAACATGATTCTTACAATCTGCATTTTAAATGGCAATACAGGACCGGGCTTCGCCCCACAACAGACGGCGGGATGCTCTTTGCAGCTCCGCCTTGAATCCCACGAGCCGAAAGAAATGCATGCGACCCCGGGGATGGCCTGAGAGAGGGATGGCCATTAGCTGACCGGTCTTCCCTTGTGATCCAAGGATTGCAAAAGGATCTGGCTGCATCTCAGCACGCAGAAGGGTTTTTCCTTTCAGCCATCTCCCATTGAATTCAGGGAATGCGGAGAGCACGCAGCCAATCACAGCAGAAAGGGTGGCTCTGCCTCGGCTCACGGCGGGCCGTGCACCGACTAAATAAAGAGCTGGGCTTGGTTGCTAAGCGAAGCACCTTTTCACTGCAACAAACGGGAAGCAAATTTCCACAATGCTCTTGGAGAAAGAGCACGCGGCATCTGCGCAACGCTCTGCTTGCGCACAGAAAAAGCGGCCGGAAAAAACAAAAACAGCCCATCAGGGAAGAGAAAACAGAGCAGCAGAAAGGAGAGAGAGGAAGCTCTACAAGTCGCACAGAGATAAAACCCTCAAATAAAACCCAAACAAAAACACTATCGATAAAGCTTTTCAAAGCTCTGTTTTTATCTATTAGGTTTCTTGGTATCTTCCTTAGTTAAGCGTCATAGGGAAACGGCTGCCTGCCTCCTGGAAGAGGCGAGACAAGGGACCTGGAATTATTTCTGGGTTGTGCTCTCCGCCCCAACCTTTAGAAAGCGCCTGAAAGCACATTTACCATCGCCACTGCCTCCCCTCTTCTTGGCTCTTTACTGCTTTCTTCTTCACACATGTGCAGCCACAGCCGTTACTAATAAACTTGAAATGATTTTCACAACAGAGACTTCCAACAGACCAAGGGGTTTTGTTTCAAATCATTCCCAGATCAGCGAGAACGGGGGGGACTGTTCCTCGCGGGCGCCTCCGCGCGACAGGGAACGGGCGATATAAGAGCAGCCTGGGCCGTAACCGGAACGGGGCATCTGCAGGGCTGCAGCAAAAACGGGGCCAGCGCAGGGATGAAGGACGCCTTGGTGTTCAAGAGAGCCAGAGCTGTTTTAGCAACAGACACTCCTTATCGATGGGCTTCTGTGAATAGCATGAAATAACCATGTGCTTACGATTAAGCCGTTTTAGAGCACCCGTCATAAAGAAACTGAATCTGGGGGAGCTCCCCTTCTCCAAGCTCCCCCTCCTTCCATCCGCTGAAGTCAGCGTTATGTACTGCATGCATTTCCTTATTGCATTTGAACACAGTCTGTGCTCAACATCTTCTCTTTACAATGCTAGAAAGACGGGTAATTGCAAACACCTTATAATGATTAGTCTTCTGCTCTGAGCTTCAATGATGGGTGTCCGGGAGTGTTTTGAGCATTATAAGTCACTGAAAATGTCTTAAACTCTAAAGCCAAAAGAAAAGGCTGCTGTGCAATATTTCTGATAGTCTGAAGAGGAGTATTAAATTAGAATACATGTGACAGCAGAATCTGGTTTCCCAAAGCAAAACGCATTAGTCAAATTACATCATGGGATTCGTACAAAGCAGCTGAAATGCACAGATCAGCCTCAGGTTCGCTGCAGACATTGGGAAGTCAGGGAAGGTTCATCCCTCGAGGCCCAGAGTTTGCTGTTTGCAGAGTCAGTTCTCACCACTCTGTCCCTGCACTGTGTTGCTGGAAATATTACATCAGCCTATCGTATAACCAGCAAAGCTTCAGAAAGCCAGCCGGGCTACAGCTACCACAGGCTGCAGAATACACGCACAAGGATGTTCGGGCCAAGCAGATTACCGACAAGAGCTCCTGGCACATGTTCACGCCCTGCAGAGGTGCAGGGCACCGATTAGCTGCAGAAGACATGCAGCGATGAAGCAATTACTGCCTGCTACCCGGGAAGCTGCTGACCAGAGCCTGATTGCAGCTTGCCTCAAAACCCACAAATACTACGCTAATACTTTTTAATTAAACCCAAGTCTGATTACAGCATAGGGACAAGATTTTAACTAACCTCTTATTATGGGAAATCTTGAAGTGTTTCCTTTATTCTCTCAAGATCATTTGAGACAAAGACTAACAGATGCTGCAGTTCCTATAGGACTGCCTTTAATTTGTTTTTAACCCAGGCTAATGAATAGATTTACTTGTGCATTCTCAAGAATCATTTTAGACTCGCAGAAAATGTTACATATTTGGAAAGGAACAAAGGCTCCCTGTTTTAAAGGGAACTGAATCCTGCCTTAAATAATGGAGAGTTAGACCCAAACATATTCTTGACAAAGGTGTGGAATCATCCAATTCTAACAGAAAGCTAAAGTTCACACCTGTGAAATAAAAATGGGCAAGATGGACAATGGTACTGTGACTGTGCCACAGGTCTGCTCTAAGGACTGCTCCAGTTGAGGGTATATGCGTATTCATCAGAACTCAGAGCAAAAATGCCCTGCCACCCTCTAAAAAAACATGCTTTGGTGCCACATGTCTGCCCTCCCCATGTTTGCAGCAGAGCCTAACACAGGGAGATGAGTGGAAGCTCTTAAGTGATGGGCTGCAAATCCCTCAGATAAGAGATGACCCTGTCTTCTCCTCTGTCCTTACATGTACAAGGAACATGGCTGCAAACGTGCGAGCCTACAACAAAGCAAAAAGGAAACAGGTGTTGAGAAACACACAGAGACGATGCCAGCGGGCTGGCCTATAGAGCAGGGGCAGGCAAGAGGCAATTGGGTGGGCATCTCCCCCAGCAAAGGACAAGATATTTCTGACACAATAGCCTTTTGCTCTTTCATATCCCCATGTCAAGATTTAAATTTGCTCCCACTGCTCATATCTGCCACGTTAACTCCTGCTTTCATGCCCCATGCTAGAGTACAGATTAACTAACCGGACTAGGAATGGGTCATAATTTCATCCTTAGAACCAAACTGTTCTCCACTTTGAGCTTCATGCTGTTCTTTGCACTGCAGGCAGGACAGTCACCCAACCTCAACTCCTCAGCCCACCAATGCTCTGTCATCCAAAAAAACACAGGCAGTGCCAGCTCATTGCTGACGGTGGGAAATTTTTCTTTGCCACAGCATTGGTTAATTAGAGAGTTGGAGAGGGCCTGGTGACAGTGCACTCTTTGTGTTGTTTATTTATTTATTTTTAAAACACAGTATGACCTTTTTGAGAGGCCTCATGTTTTCTCTGGCTCTGCACAAATGCCATTACTGAACACAATCAGCAGCCTGATGGGAATAAAGGTCTCTTGCGCCGCTGAATGCTGAATCACGTCCTGATGGACAACGGGACGAGTGGAACAGGATGCCGGGGAGTGGCCAGCCAGGGGCCTGAAATGTGGGGCTGCAGGAACACCTAGAAGCAGGTATCTGTTTAGTTTAAGGCCTCTCAGTGCTAGAATAATTTGGGTATAAAGAAGGAAAACAGAATCAGAAAGTTCACACTAGTTAGGACACCACTGGGAAATCCCCAAGAGCCTCCAGGTAGAAAGGAGAGTTTCAGAGTGGAATTATTTTTGCTTTATGTAAGCGAAGGACTGTGCACGTTCCCTGCAGAAAGACAGGCCAGTAGCAGTCTGGCAAGCTACAGCTGCCCTAGACAAAGACGCATTGGGAACAAATGAAGTTCAGACAAGTCCTGGGAAGGCAGACTCACATTCATGTTTTTCTCCTACTTTGTTGTAATCAAGAAATTCAACCCCTGCTCCTACCTCCACTCCTTCCAAATTTCTGGTATTGCAGACCTCTACAGAGATATTGCACTAAGCTATCCCACGCTTATCACAGCTCCAAGTTGTATTACAGCTCCAAGTATTAAGTTACTTGCTACAGCCTCTCTTACAACTCGCTCTGCATTTCAGTTCTTCCTTTGCAAATGCTGACACCAGCTATGAGAACCAACACAAACCTAACTTTGGGCCAGGGGCTTGGATCTCTGACTTTCAGGCATTTTTCTCAGGGGCTCTGTCTCTGCTCACTCTGCACCCTTCAGTCAGATGACGAGAGTTACTGGGCACTGAAAAAACACGACTCCCCTTGCCCTCACACGCAAAGCCAGACCGAACAGCCACTCAGCTGTAAAACTAGGAACGAGTCCCAGGAATCCCAACGCCTGCTGCTAGCACACGCTCCCCACTAGCTCTCTTCACAGGCTCTGCACCCCTAGAAGGGCACTCAGAGCACTTCCAACCGGAGACCTCCTCCAACAGGAGCTGTTCCTGAAGGAACACCACTTGCGGTCAGGCGCGACTCTGCTGAAGTAGGTTTCCAATGTGTTTTAGTTGTCCTAGTAGAGGAAAAACTAGTGCTATCTAAAAAGAACAGCTTTCCTTTGGTGGAAGCATGTATTCAATGCGCAGGCATTGAACAGTAATTGAAAACAGGGCACGAATCCTTCATGAAAGTCCTTCATTACTTACCGTGGGATCTGTCCAGAGAGAGCACTTTGCACAGTCCTGGCAGGGTGCCCCGGGCGACCGGGGGTGTTGGCAGAAGTGGTCATACCCGTTAATGGCGGCGCGGCAGAGGTAGCACATCTGAGCACCGCAACGACAGGACATGCGGTTGCAACCCTCTGATTTAATTAGGCCAGTCCCACACTTGTGGCATTTCCTAATTCGAGCAGCCGTCATTTTTTCTTCTCTGCAACACAAGAGGAGGGACAAGAATTAGAAGCATTTGCCAGTCTGTGGTAAAGTTACTGTTCTACTACCCCAACGGTACTTCAACCTCCCTTTCCCCAGCGTACCTCTCTCCCCTCCCCTTTCCTCCTACGCTACCCCCACAGTCCATCGCTGTTCCAAGGAGGTCTGGGCTCGACTCCACTTGGAGCCAACCCATGACAACTCAAGAACAAATTAAGTGACAGAAAGTCAATCACTGACTGCATTCTGCAGGCTCAATTCTGGTTTCCATGCGAGCCAAAACACACCAGGGCCAGGCTCTGGCTTGGAAGGAATTTAAACCAAAAGTTAAGGGGCCAAAGGCCACGTGGATTCTTGACTTGGCTGCGAAGAAATACGGCCTAGGAGATAAAGTCCAGGAAAAGCAAACTGTTTGCTGTCATCTGCTAGCTAATTTTATGTTTGACTGTTGCTTTGGTTACCAAGTTGCCACGACCATATTTTTTCAAGTAATGCTGCAGAATATTTGTTTTTTGTTAAATTTAAATCAGTAACTGAAAAATAATCACATCTTTCCCATAGAGACTGGGCTTTTCCCTTCTCTTAAGATTCCCTATATAAGTTTTCCAGGGGTTACTGCCTTAGAGTGCAGCCTCTCTTTTGAACCTAACAGAGCACGAATGGGAAGCCAGCACGAGGCACAGCGCCTGGTCCCCAGAGACCGCCTGGGAACTGTGCACACTCCAGTGTAAAGGCTCAGCTCACAGCAACATCATTTTGGCTCAGAAATGGAAGAAAGCCTTGGCCATTTAATTAAAAGACTTAAAAATATAAGCTGCCATCCTGAAGGCCAATTTTCTGACCACTGGAGATCATGTTACAATTTAATTCACAATGTAGGAGAGCTGAAACTTGATGATAGAAGAGTAAGGGAACTGCATTTTGACTGAGGGAAGTAAAGTCCTCTGGCTGCGCTGACCTGACAGTAGGGAATGATCATCTTAGCCAGCATCTCCACCCAACTATTTTAGTGGGCCTGCAATCCCAGTATATGCTTGGGAGAAGATGGGGAGGTATTGTAAGGAGGATCACAGCAGCAATTCACCAGTTCAGTGCAACTCCACAAAATGATCCATCAGCACAGCCAAAGGAGTAGTGAAAAATAAGACAAAAAAAAAAGAGCAGCTAGAGGTGGAAACTTCAGCTGACCTGCAACTACACTAAGCTTCCATGCAATTATAGCTGGCAAGAGCTGCATCCAGCCATTTGGATATACACTAGGAATGGAGAGGAAAAAAGTCAACTTGAGACTGACTCTGCTCTGCGCTGCAGCTGCTCTTCCCTTCTCTACTCAACAGGATGCTGCTGATGGAGTTTTTTTTTTTTTTTTGGAAACTTTGAGCAAGGCAGGAAGTTTGGCCTGAACTCCAGCTGTGCTTCCCTTTCCCCATACAGAGCTTCAAAAGGAAGCTTTTATTGTATCATGCAGTAAAACTCATCCATCTACAGTAACATTCTGCTAAAAAAAATTAATTTTAAAACCTTTCTTATTAGGGACATGACACTCCTTCCTCCTCCCTCTCACCTCTTTCCTACAGGGAGAAGAGTGGCAGAGAAAGAAGCCATATCAAGAGTGAAAAAATGTTTTGTTCTAAATTATGGATTGTGGGATGAGCAAGTAGCAATCATCCAGCCTCCCAGTGGTAGAGCTTTCCAACCTTTACTCATACCAGACAAACTTTAAATCAGAGAGGAAAGGATTGGGCAACATAGGCAGGTCCCATTTCACTGCACTAGACGCACAGTTCTATGGCTGAACCCCAACTTGTTTCCTAAAGCAAAAGGATTTTGTCATTTACTACAGCAATGAGAGATCAGAGTTCAAAAGATTTTATGGAAACACTCAGGATTTCCACATGAGTATTTCAAAATATAACTCCATTCTGTATTGATTCCTACAAAAAAACATGACTGGTTAACAGACAGAAACATATGCGAAAAAATGCATTCCCTTCTACGAAGCTAGAAAGCAGCAGCTGAGCAAACCATGCCTCATCACTTTGTCACCAGGATAGATTTTCAAAGGGCAAAAAACCACTTACTGACTCAATATGCTTCTTTGCTCCCGTACAGCACTTCCCTTCTCCCCGGACCGAAGAGAAGCAACACATAACAGAGGTTTCTCACTTCTGAGAATGATCAGGTGCCAGCCTGCGAGACACTGGGCTAGCCAGGAACAGTCTGGGCTGACGACAACTCTCCCATGTTCTTGTGTTACCGCTCAGATCCATTGCCAAGTATTTTTTACAGAAAGAAATCCTAGTAGCCTTCTGATCGCTCAGTTTTCACATCCCTAGGACCTCCCTGATGGAAGGTAACGACACCCAGCAAAATTGCAGGGCTCCATTAGTCACAAGCAGCAGGCTTCCTTACTCCCATCCACACCAGAGTTTGTCTAGAGCCATGACAAGTTTATCCATTCCCCCATCTTTGCCAGCTGCAGGATTCACTTACATAGATGTCCTGTATTTGATGTCATCCTTCTCAGCCAGTTGCTCACAGGTGAGGTTCATGTGCTCCTTCCACAGCCCCTGACACTTTCGACATGTTTCCTGAGGGAGATAACACATATTAAAGCAAGAGAAGGCTCAGTGCACCATTCAATAATTAGGGATTGGAAGTACTCCCTTCTCTTTCCCACCTAACTGCAGATGCTCATCTAGGATTGAGTTGGCGATACTCTTAGAGGCATGAGGCCCCGCAGAGGTCTGCGCTCTGCTAGACAGCAGAACGCGTCCAGGTACGAAACGCAACTGGAGCTAGTTACAGCTGTGCAAAATGAGTCTGCAAGCCCTAGTTCAACTCAAACTCACCAAATGGTTAGCACATTACATCTAGGAGCAGACTGCAAGGATCAAAACATGGATCTACAGGACATCAGCTTCATCCACATCCTTAGCAAAATGCTGTGGCTCTATGCAAAGGGCTTCCTTGGCAGCCGGTGACGGGAAGCTTGCCACTGCTCTGCAGCTGTATCAGAAGCTCTGCCTCACCTTGCACACCAGCAAATCTATATTCTGCTTTGTTAAACTTCACGAAATATGCGTTTGCCTACATAAACTGCTTAAAAGGCAGGATATGGACAAATGGCCAAAAAAGGGAGGTGGGATCTGAACAAAAATTTATGAATTTAACCAGACTGGAAGTAATAGTTGAACTAAACTTAGAGCCAGTCACTGAACTCTCCTGTTCTTGTAAACACTTTAGTAACACGACTAATCTGGGTCTGGTGAAGCCACATGGAGCAGGAGAGCTGTGGAGACATGACTGGCAAGGGAACTTGGACTAACACTGGGAACATAGCTGACTTTTCGGTCGGCTGCCCAAAGAAAACAATTTTGTTTTGGGTCAAACAAGATTTTCCTTTAATTTGAGGAAGATTAAAAACCATCCAAATCAAACTTGGAAGTAGTACATGTTTTGTAATCCAACTGTTTCATCTTTAGAATTGCCAGGACTCAGGCTTTCAAATCTAACATTCTCCTTCTGGCAAGAAAACCCGGAAGGCTGTGAAGCATCCTTTCCCCCTCCATGCCAAAGAAAGCCCCAAAAGATTACTTTGCCCAGCTCTGGTCACACCACCAGTGGAAGGTGACAACTGCACAGAGACAGGTCTTTTTGATGGCATTACCTCTGCTTTGTTTTACTAAAGAGACTGGACATCTGTGTGGGATACATGATAGGAGTAACTATTGTCTAATCAAGAGTTCTCCTCAGGTCTCAGTATTTTCTCTGCCTAAAGACGCACGTAAGCGGCAACATGCTTTTGATCACCAGTCAAACAAACAGGATGAAGACCAAAGCTTCCAAGGACGCTACTGCTAGGAGGGAGTACAACGTGTTGACTCGTTTGCATTTGTGTTCGCTGCGAGATGCTTAACAGCTTGTGCTCTCATCAAAAGAATTAAAGGTTCCCTCATCCTGGCCGGCAAGCCTGACGTGTTCTGACACAGCAAAGTGTCACAGGGCTAGAGTAAGACAAGAGCCAAGCCTGTGACCGTATGTCCCGAGAGCTCAGCACAGAGTTTTGTAATCACTCGCTCACCTTCCAGATGCATCTTAGACAGGCAGCCGCTAGTTTTAAGGGGCAATAACTGCCTTGTTGCTATCAATTCTCATGAATCACTTGTCATACACTGTGTTTTCCAAGTGTCTCTCCTCAAGCTGTTAAAACAGGCACGACTCTGCACGTGTTTGCTGGTAGGCCATATTCGTGGTCATTATCGGCACGGAAGGATGACTGCTGATCGCACCTTGGAGAGCTGCCAGACTTTGAGCCGTTCACGTGCCTTGATGAGGACCAACCTTCCCCTTTTATTCTCAACCCCCAACTAAATGCTGTTCCAAGATCAAAAGTGTTGCATGTCCTTTATCTACCTCAAGGGTTAAACAGTCTTTGGAGCACTAACATACAGAATCACTTTCACACGCCAGCAACAAAGATTTAGCAGCTTTTTGCCAGAAGGGTTGGCACACTTTCCAGCCAGGAACCTACTATTCCCAATTACTTAACTCCAGGAGCCTCCTTCGCTGCTGAATTAGAGACAATGCCCTTGCGAAGCAGATGGTGCTACTTATACTTTCGTACCAAGCCATTCCCTTTTGATACTGCCATCATCCTTGCTTTGAACGCTGCAGTTACTTAAAAACAATGTTCTCCCTTGAGCTAAGGCCGTCTTTATTTGCCAAGCAGTGTCTCTTACACCCAGGAAAGCTGATTCCTTTGCAACTGGGAAGAAAGGGAACAAGCAGAGTGAAGCTGATTCCCAAAATCCCACAAGTAAGAGGCGGCCTCTTTTCCATTTTACTGGGACCACTACAGGCAGCGATCGCAAGCGCTGCTGCATGCCCGCCTGCGAGCCTTCCCGGGGAGCGCTCGCCACAGCGAGGGGCAAACCCACAGGCAAGGCTGCAGTTCGCCTGCCCGCGTTCTCCCGCGCCCTCCTGAAGGAGCCGTCTCCGTGGCTTTTTAACTACGGATTTCACCCCGTGAGCCTCCTCTGGCCAAGTCACATCCTCTACAAAATAGATAAGGGGGGGGGAACCGACAATGTATACGCCATTACCAGAGCTTAATGCAAATTCTCTCCTTGATCTAGCCGAGACAATGGCACATTTTTAACAGTTCCAGGAAGTTAAATTGGACCCTGCCAAACAAAAGCAGAGAGGAAGCCTCTGATTCAGACACAAATGCAGCTGCTCCAGTGCTGTAACGAAGCAATAAGATCACAGCTGTCTCCCAAGAAAAATGACCTTCTCAATGTTTTCTCTTATTTGAATTGAACACGCCAGGCTGATGAGGGCTTACGTATCTGACATGATTGCAATTCTGATCTCCACAGAAGTTTCGCAGAGGGCTCTTTTATTTCAGAAACAGCTTTTTGTTTGATAAAGCAGTGTACTCTGCCATTACCATATTAATTTACCTAAACACACAATGGGATGGCTGATTTTTTTGCAACCAGCCTAGATTATTTCCATTATAAGAGCAGCGCTTGGCACTAAGACTTGCTACCACAATACCAGGCAACATCTAAAACCCATACAGAGAGGGAACACCTCCTTCCCACCCCCTGAAAGCTGCTGCTCAAACTGTAACAGTCAAAAGCAAGTCAGACCATGAAAAATAAAATCCTATCCAACTTCTTGGCCAGTGCCTTGTCTACTACAGAACCCTGGCCTAGCCACACTGTGGAAGCTAATGCGGGAAAGTATATTTTGTTTTACTTTTAACTGCTTTTCAGCTAACGTACTCATTTCTGGATGGTGTCAACTCCATATGTTTCTTCTGCATTTCCCTCCTCCCAGGCAGGTCCGCTTAACACAGTCTGTGCTTTCAGTGAGAGGGGCAGCAGCTCGTTTGGAGAAGCCTTGGCACTAGCGAACAGTTCCCAAACAGGCACGGATGCAGGAGATTAAGTATCTCCTGCCTGTTACATCTGCCCAAGCTTGGCAGGCAGCCTGGGACAGTCCATTAATGTGCTGGGCTGGGACAGCCGGGAGGAGGACGTGATGGAGAGGGTGTTTAATCACACACTGTAATCTCCTCGCTGTACATCTGTTAGAGGCAGTGGCTCCGCTTCCGCTTGCTGGCCGACGGGAAGCAGCCGTGATTAACGCAAACATGTTTGGGTTCAGGAGGATCCTTTGTTCCCAGGGTCAGCAATGTGGATATGCAGCTTTCTGGGCTCAGGGCCGGCCTGGCTGAGCGCAGCCAGTTTGCTTTTAGCATGGGCACCACAATCCTCAAGAGTCCGTGCTAGCTGTCCCAGCACCTGATGAAGGTAGGAGGAACGTTTTATGGGAGCCTGTCAGCTTCCGTGGCATCTCTACCAACCCTCACAATGGAGGCTGCAGTTCTCAAACAGTCTAAAATTGTTTGTTGACTCCACCCTCCACTTCAAAAAAAAAAAAAAACAAAACCCTAAACAAAGTCTTCAAGGCCCAGCCCACATATCAAGGAAAAGAAACCTCAAAGAATCAACATCTCCTTGCCAGTCTCCATGTCCTTTCGGCCGCGGTCAGGCTGCTGCTTGCACTGCCTTTATTTGATCAGCATTGGCTTTATTACAGCTTGAACCCAGACAAATGCCACATGGACAAAAACATCAGGTGACAGAGACAGAGCACCGACCGACTGCCCACGCCAGTCTCGCGTGCTTGGTCCTTTGCTAGTGATTTACATGAAGCCATTTACTGATTAAGCAAAACGCAAAAAGGAGGGGGGGGGGGAAGCGTCCAACTTAAACAACAACAGGCAATACATTAGGCTGTCATCACCGCCCTCCAAGTCTCAGTGGTGGCTCTGAGCAGAGTCCAGTGCTTGCCTTAGCTCTCCATATGCTGGTTAATTAAATCCTTTCGCGGCTGCATTGTGCGACTCCCTGCGTCCCCGAGGAAACGCGAGTTGCACACTCCAGCCTTCTCCGCTGATTGCACATATGGGGACTTTCTGCTGCGCCCCCTGCTAAGAACGAAGCGGAGGTAAAACATACTGCGTATCCATTCGATTCTCAATGGGACACAGCGCCAGTGATTGATTCTCTGCTTCTTCCTGCTTTCAGACACACAATAGTGCAGGCTAACCTCACACAGGCCAAGTTTTACCCAAAAGCAGATGTGAACATGATGTTCTTAAAATAGCACCTCAGGGCCAGCCCCTATTGCACTGGCTTAATTAAAGAGCTGCAGTTCCAAGCCAGACAAGTCGATGGGAAAATACACATACAGTCCTCCTCCCCACGACAGGTCCACTACCCATAAAGCTGCACTGACCTCAACTATAAATGGGTGAAGTAGTAGTTAAACGAGTGCAATCTTTAAGCAGAGAGAAACTCTCCTGAGCAAACTCCAGGTCTGTTTCTGGGATTTCCTACTTTAAGCTTGGATAAAGAGGTTGCAGCCCAGCCCAAACCAATCCGTTTTGGCGAGAGAACCCTTTTTACAGAAATGCACCAAGACGCAATGCAGGGAAACGGGACCCCAGCTCCCAGGGCACCCAGGCCCCCGATACAACACGCTCCTTCCCCGCGGAAACAGCTGCAGCTACTTT